AATTTGTTATCAACAAGGATGCGGATACGTTTTTGGACCCTAGCGACACTGGAAAGTGAAGACTGTACAGTTCCTCCGATATATGACAGCAGTAAACCATGGTTATATATTTGCTTTTTGTTCTGGCACTATCAAATTCGCCGACTATAATTCCTCATCTTCGTTTCAAGTTTTCAGCCTGCCATCCTATTTTTATTAGCAAATCATTATTAACCGCTTGTGCGTAATCCTTTGTTATATGCAAAATATAAAAATAATTCGCATGCATTTATTTACTATGTTACGCAAAAATCAAAATGGCACAGATATCTTATTTTAACAGGCCTATTTACCAAAATTAAACAAAGATCTTAAAATACTAAATAGTAAATTTATTAAATAAAATCGCCATCTGTATCAAACCCGTTCACCATACGAAATCAGGGTCTCAGGCAATTCTTCTGGGTGGTCTCCATGTTTAAGTTGGTGAAAGCTGCCGTAATCCTTACCTTTAGTTCATTTTTGGTGTTACAAAGAGTTTTGTTGGTGTTTCACTCAACTGCGCCCCACACAGTTTATTGCAGTCTGTGGAGTTAGATTGCCAGATGTAATGGGTGATATTGTCTCTGAAATTGACTGACAGCTAAGACTGGGTTCCTCTGGTGATGTAGCATGGTTCTATTACCAGACATCAGATCTTCCGGTAGACGTTCTATTGACCCAGACCAGAACTACCTCAAGGAATTTATGTAAGCTTAGTTTTACCAAAGCTGTAAAAATGGGTTAGCCAGTTCGGTTTGAACTCAGTATTCGGTAACAATATTTTACCAGATTTATTAGATAAATATTATACCATACCAAATATGTTACTTTACTTTTTACTGTATTATAAACAAAATAGAAGGTATGTTTCGATGAGAGAACCATTTTCTGTTGATTTGGAAGATGCATCTATTTTCGAGGTAAGTCAAACATTATCCCTACTTTCGCCATAACAGATACTTTGGTTTCACACACAGCCTTCTGTTCATGCGTGCTCCTGTTGTGGTTACGCAATATAAATTTGAGCAGGATCGCGCCATCTTTCATGCTGCTGCTGCACTTTAAACATGGCCGCTCTGCTATTAGTGTGCTCCAAGAAGATACAAAAAGCAGTCATCGGAATCTGCAGAGAACTTACTACATCATCGACGATATCTCGCTGATTCAACATTGTCAAGATTTCTGAATCTTCTCGTCAGTGGTAGATGTTGACAGGTTTTCTGCACGTTCTTCGAGTCCCATGCATTTGCAGGCACTCTTCAATTTCTCTATCTACTCGCACACACTTCTACTCGGTAGTGCATTGTCCCCATATTGTGTTAAATCCTCCAATGAATTACAGCCCATGACAATCATTAAGACCAAAAACAGGACCACTTCACTTTGTTCCTTCTTGGTGCACACTGCCACCGTATAGGCCATGTTTACACTGTAACATCAACAAGAGAATCGGCGCGATCAAGCTCTATAGTTTCCACTATAGAAAGTGTAAAAAACAAAAATACATGTTATGGTAGAAAATGCGGATAATTTTTGAGTTTTCCTGCTACAATCGCTGAAATAAAGAATTTGTCAACTGACAAATCATAATTTCTGCTTCACTGAATATTCTGAGTCAGAATTGGTCTTAAATTTTGAAATCAGCACCACCTATGCTATCTCTTTGAAAGTTACATCTACGTCGCTTCCTACCTTCAGGTATGCAACTGTTTGTCAGCAACAGGCATTATAAATGCCACAAACAAATTCTACCTCTGAGATGGAAGTCAATCATATCCGCTTCATAATTGCAAGTCGAAATGCATTTCTTTACTTCATGTGAAACACTATATTACACGCTGTATCTTGCTTGATTTTGATTTGCCACGAAATGGCAGGCTGTGTATTTTGATAACTTCTGATGACTTGGAACGACGACCGAGGTCAAAATCACAAAACACATGACAGAAGTCGACATCTCGTGAGACGTCATACTAAAAACTTTGTCACTGAGTTTTGTAGTTAGTGCGTGATCTTGACACGGATTCACAGGCAAGCACACATAAATATACACGAGCCGAAGCATCCATTTTTTTAATTTTTGTTTTATGCATTCTCAGCTTCACATCAAGACTTTTGGTACGTGTTATTGGCAAATAGGTGACAGGGTATAAGTTTATATCTCCAGCATCTCTAGTTATATTCGGACTGATCGGGGACTAAATGAGATAAACTGAAATATAAGATATAGAACGAATTCTTCAAATGAGCCGTGTTTTGTGGAAAGATCCAAAAGCCAATGTTATTAAAGTAAATTCCTGAATTATTACTTTTTTTTTTTTTTGATTTTGGCCTCAAAAATACTTCTACTCATATTTCTACGTCTACCACCTAGAAAATACTCTTTCTTGTTATAAGCAAAACCAAAATGAATATAATTGTATTTAATCAACCCTCACGAGGTCAAGTTGTGACACAAGGCTTGTTTAATGTGGGGAGCCCGAGCGCGTACACCCGGACCAGGAAAGAAATTGCCCGAGCCCCCGTAACCAAAATTAATATATTAACTGTTTAACTGATCTTCTCTTTAAAACAAGCCTTCTCTTCACCATAAAACTGTGACCTGCGATAAAGGAAAATATATTATCTTATAAGTTGCTTGTTTAAAATAAATTATATTATTCAAGAAGTACTGGCTTATTAGATAAATTCCATCTTTTATCCATTTTGGAATCAACAATTTTAAGAAATCAGCCAGTATTATAAAATGTTAAACAAGATTTTTAGCGTAACGCTAGAGCTCAGTCAGGGAATAATGTGCCATGCGTGATACAAGTTTAGGCAATCATGTATCTGAAGAGATTGATTTTTTTGTTCCGCAGTAGGTTACAGTTTCTTTCTGCGTTAGACCAGTTGCCATCCAAAGCTAGAGAACCCGACTTTCCTGCTATTTACCCATAGTTGGGAGGAAGAAGAAGATGATTCATATCTTTCCCAAGAGTAAAAAGCATGTAAGTGAATGTAATGAATTCGACTGGAATTCGAACTCAGCTGTCCGGTTCTTAAAATCCGAGCCACTATCCATTACTCTACCGTGCCGCCTGCCTAGATCTAGTAAATCATAAAAAAATACAGTAAAATATTTTCCTTTTACGCTAAATAAGACTTGAAACAAAGAATGAATCTGACAAAACATTACATGAAAAGAGATATTCATTCTATGTTATAATACCTTTAATGTTAAAAAAAGATTATGAATGGAGTAACAAGTCAACAATACGGTGTTGATATACAAATATACTAAGCCTTATTATGAAACCCAATTTGATAAGTGTACACCAGCCCGACTATTTGCCTTATATTTTGATGGGTTTTGATGAAAATAACGGTTAAATTTGCAAGTAGGTGTAACTTAAGATTCTGTTTAGGTCTGTTTGCTGAATCAACTCAGAATACCTGCAGGATGCGATGGATAAATTGTTGTCTAAATTACGCAAAAATAATAATAATACTAACATCTCATTTTAACTAATATTTTCAAAATACTAAATAGTAAATTTATTCAATAAAATCGCAATTTTATTTTTCAAACTAGACCTCCAGAAAACTTCAGAATCTCCTGCATCTCTTCTGGATGGTCTCCTATTTTTAAGTTGGTGAATGCAGCCATAATCTTTGATTTGGGTTCATCTTTGGTATTAAAAGGAGTTTTGTTGGTCTCCCGCTAAATATGTGTTGGTATCAGACATACTAATCAAGGAGGTTGTAGTCTGGGGAGTTAGATGGCCAGATGTAAGAGGTGATGTGGTAGAAGAATTAGTCTAGCAGTTTGCGTAGCACTGTGCAAATTCCTGTTGCCAGACATAGTGCCTTCCACTAAACACCATTTAGGCCCAGAGCAGCACTACTTCCTCAAGTCACTTAATACAAGCCTCCGTGTCGATTCTGTGGCCAGTTACCAACAATGCCGGCTGTTCACTTTAGACTAATCCAATCTTTCCCAAATCCTTATAAACAGAGATGCCAAATGTCACACATTCTGTGAACATTTTAAATAGTTAAGTTTTGATAACACTCAAGACTAGGCGTGACATAAAATTGAATATTTGATGTATTCCATCTGAATTAACGAAGACAAATAATGTATATTTTAATATACCATATCATATAAAACAGGAAGACATGAAAGTTCATCATCCTATTATTATTATTTCACTTGCATGTTTATATCAGGTATCAGGTGGTCATCACTGTAGATTGACTGAGCGCTGGTCTCCAGCCGCTTTTTCAGTATCCTCGGAGACAAGAGCAACACTGTGATCTCTGGTCACTTGAACCCTTACAAACTCCAATATAACCGCAGTTCGCATAATACATTATTCCCCAAAATTCTCCATATTTAAAGTCACTTTTTTCGTTTGTGTTAAGGTCCACAGCAATTATAGAAATAGAATCTGTATCATGCATTTCTAGCATCCATTAGATTAGGGTTTCCGACATGATTTTTAGACTTGCTATTTGACGCTAGACTGATGTAGTCATATTTGATAACAAATTTACAAATAATAATAATTTGTCTTCGGTTGGTATTAGCTAGTGGATTTTAACGGTGATCAAGTTATATTCAATCTCGTCATTTTTTGTTCACCATTTTAGAGGATAAGTGGAAATCCCTGGCATTTGCTGAAATCCAATGTAGGTAAAGAAAATATTTTTTTTTTAAATCGAGTCGGTCTAACACGTTACATGAAGCTGAAGAAAAGCATCAAACCCTTTACTGCCACCAAGCCTCCTGGACCAAGACTAAAACACAGAATCTTTGAGGGGATACCGAGATGCTGTGTATGGGGAGATAGATGAGGTGAATTGTGAAGAGTATTAACCCTTAAGGAAATTTAACGAAACCGACTGGAATTTGAACTCGATTAATGACTCACAATTTGTAATCTGTTTAAAATTTCCGAGCCAATGTCCATTATACCAAACGCAAATATAAGAGCACAACCCCTGATATTCCCAAGCAGTCACCCATATAACTACTGACCAGGTTCAGTTAGCTTAACTTCAGTGTTCTTATGGGAAACGGTGCTTCATCTTAAAGGGGCCTTAAGCCTCTCGCGGTGTCATTAGTTAATTTTTGTTCAGATACATTTATATCTATTAAGCACTTACAGAGATTAATCTTGTTCGTATTGCTACCATTCTGAGCAGATATTACTAAAACTTTCTGGGAGATAGCGTGTAATCTGGCACAATCGACAGTTTCAATAATGCCAGTATGTTCATAATCCTGGTAAGGATTACATATGGATTTGTTCTTGTTTACGTATTGACTGGTAGCGAACAGTTCTTTCTGTCTAATTTCCCACACAAGTCTTGAGTCCAACGGCAGTATGGCTTTCAGTCAATTGCCAACGCAGCCACATGTTTAAGCTGTTCTACTATTTGATATTTTCTAGCTCACCTCTCCAATATGACGAATATGGTAAGATCCAAACCAAGGTTTCGTTGTCAGATTGATGATGTTATAACGATGTGCACATAATGTAGCCGAATTTGGTGGTTGCTTTTTTTTTTATTTTTTTTTTTTTTGGAAAATGCGCCAACTTTCCGTGAATTACATTATTTTAAATTCTCATTCTATGCTTCTTTGGAGAATTTCAAAGCTACGCCATAATAGTGCGATCACCACGCGTCTATATTTTCCATATTGAGTTGTCTTGTAATGTTCAAATATTTTAAATCTTATGAACTATTTTTCTATTCTTCCATCGCTTCTATTTTGGCTGTATTTAATCAAAAATTAAAATGTGTACAAAATATACTCCTAAATATTTTCTCTGCCCGTCATATCTACCTAAGATATGTTCATATCTCTTATACGGGCGCGTTAAAAAAATAAAGAAGGATGTTATTTTATCTTTTAATAATTTTAAGTAGATCTCTCTCTCTATATATATATATATTTCTCTCTCTCTCTCTTTCTCTCTCCCTCTCTCTCTCTTATTTAAGTCTGATTTTACGGTTTTCAAGAAAATGATGTTCCACTATTTCTGCTACTATCTAACTAGAAAATAATATTAAATGCAATGAAAAGAAAATAGGAAAAATGAAAAAATACATTTCTGCAATATGAAGAAAAAAATATTGCATGAAGTGGTGAGTTGGGGACTAGATAATATTATTATTACAATTAATCCAAGGCTAAAAGTCAGCTTTAAGACGGCGCGGTGTTTGTACAATACTGACGCATCACTAGATAAAAATATCAACGCACTGACGATGCAAATGTTTTCATGAAGATGGTAAGCGCTATGATTCGTAAGATGAATAAATAGTCACTTAGACATTTTGAGCGTCGGACTGAGATTGTAAAACACTGTACAATTTAGACATACATAAAAATACTGATGTACCGGTATTAAAATAGTAACAAATATATATTATATGAAGTTCAGAAGTTCTTTTTCCGTTTTGCTTAAACGCTAAATATAAAATAAATATATAATGTAATTGTTTCTGTCATTATGTAATATCAGGGAATATTCCATCAAACATAGGTAATTGTTAATTCGGGGTTGTATTCTTTATATGAGTTTACATATCTGGTAGAGCTTATGTTTACTTTGCAAAAAAATACTTTATCCATTTCAGAGTAAAAATCCAATACGGACTTTAACCGTACGTTGATACATGTATCTCACCAGTGTATTTTTGTGATGCATATAAATAAGCAACTAACTTTGTAATCAAATGATTCGTCATTCAAATAATTCAAATTTATAGCCTGAAAGTGGAAACGATCTTAGTATTTAAATCACAGCTTCGGATTAAAGATAATCATGGTGAATATCGTTAGCGGTAAATATTTCTAAATGTAATCAATATAACGAATTATATGTCATACAAGATAAATATGTGAACAGTTGTTTAAAAAAAAGCCAAACGCTTTAATTTCAAGTATTTTTATTCTACAAATTTGCCGCATTCTTAAAATAGTCAAAGTTATGATTACGTATGCAAAGATAGTAAAGAAAAATAATTGACAGCGCCATACTGGCTATCATCTCTCTTAGAATGAAAAATATGAATTACGCTTGGAATGACATGTGCAAATGTTTCCAACGACAACGTCATTTACTTTCAATTAATACGAAATGAAACTGTTTATAATTGACTAAGAAATGTGAATTTTAATTATAAACATAATTAAAGAAAACTAAAATTGTGAATTATTTTTTAGATAATATTGTATGTATCAGGGTCTGTTTTTATTTTATCAACTCGATATCAAGTGACGTCCTCATTTTAGCTTCGAAGCTCGTGCAAATCACTCGCAGAGGAGAAATCAGTGTAGTGCGACAAAACAGCGTTAATTTAGTTGTTGTTGACGGGCGGACGCCTTGCTGGAGTCAATCGCTTTTCAATGTTTGGGTCGACTTAAAGCATCATAAATATGAAAGAATTGCCCCGCCTTCACCATACGCTGGCATATATCGGCCAAATTCTGTTAGTTGTAACGCACTCTGGGATTTCGTCGATGCACAACGTTAAATGACAACGCAGGAAAAAAAAGACAAGTTGCAAGCAAACAACGCGGTTTGTAATAAGCTGCCTGCCAATATATCTGTCTCATTCTAAATTGACAAGAGCTTCCATTATATGGCTCTTGCCATACCTGGCATGGCATGCTACAGACGCCAGTGGCGCAAGCATGATTTTGAGTTATCTACTGTTGCCTTGCTGTGCAGAAGAAATGCTTGTCTCACGTGCAGAAAACTATTATTTTCTATTCCTTTGCTTCAATGCCGGCTTTGACTGTCAGAACTTATAAATGGGTTTCTTACGTTTCCAGACTGATTCTTAATTTCGGTTTGCGAGTATTGAGCGAAGAAACGACTGTAACAAGACAGTGTGAAATACACTTCGGAATGGCATTTCATCTGCGCTATATTGTCAAGAACAACCTGTGTTTTGCAGGCTTTTGTTGTATTATAGGAAAAAAAACACCCTAAAAAAATGGACGTTCTTCGCATTGGTCTTGTTATTATTTTCTTTATTTATAACTATCCAAATTCACACAGTAGCATACAGAGTGCGAAGATTATTGAGCTAAAACCGTAAATTACAATTAGGCTCTGGATGTATATTATCATTTGCTTTCTGGAAAACATGGCTCACTACCAGATTAAACATAATAAATATGAAAACCATTTTTTTTTGTTACTTCGGCCATCATGTAACCGCAGGTAAATATCGGGTTAGTTTAAATGGTAACTCATCGAGATTTGATTATTAATATCTCTATCTATCTATCTATCTATCTATCTATCTATATATATATATATATATATATATATATATATATATATATATATATATATATTTGTGTATTTGGGCAACAATCATTCTTTCATGCACATTTAATTGAATACGACAGAAATGGTGCTGTGATTTAGTTTTATAAACAATTTTACATGCGATTAATAATTTCTTTCTTTCTTTTCCGATGATAAATTATATAAAACTATCCGAATGTTCTTATAATCCGGACATTATTCGTAACATACTCGTTGACAACACAAATATAATAGCATCATCTACTAGCAAAATAGGCTAAAAATACTGGAAGCCTTATTAATAAAAAAAATAAATAATAATAATATCAACTATGAAAATGGACACAATATCTTGACCATGTTTTCAAAAATGAAAACATAATATAAATACATACATACAACCAACTATTTCTTAATTAACAGTGAGAATATTTCTTCGTTGAAAATTGCTAAATGTATAGCCGTAAGCGCTCGGGTTAAAAGAACATTCGGACAGTTTTTATATAATTTATCATCTGAAAAGAAAAAAAATATTCGATTGAGATATTATATAAAAAAATTAATCAAAACATCTTGTCTGTCGTATTCAATGAAATGTGCATATATATATATATATATATATATATATATATATATGTGTGTGTGTGTGTGTGTGTGTGTGTGTGTGTGTGTGTGTGTGTGTGTGTGTGTGTGTAACATTTTAAGCTTGCATTTCCTCAGATGACTTTTACTTCTTATTTTCAAACTGCCATGATTTTGGAAAAGAAGGATATTTCGATTTCTTTCTCTTTGTCTTCTCTACGGTTTTGAAACTAGGAGTTTTCTCTTACATTGTTACCATTCAAAGGTAGCTAATCCAGTCTATCCTGTGATTTAACCCAAAGATAAAGTAGAACGGATTAATTCTCATTCTATGATCATTTGTGCGGTAGAGAAGTGTACAAACACTTTCAAAATTTGAACTCGTCTAACCAAAGCCAGTTTCCGTGTTTTTGACTTTTTAAACTAAAAAACAAAAATAAAAATAAACGCAAACAAACGAAAGATATTTTCGCTGCCTCCTTTGTGAGAGTGAGAACGACTGGCGCAATGCAATATGTATATTATTTCATAATTCGTCTTTAAAGATTGTATCATTTGTGTAATATTTATAATAATGTTTTACTTGATATGTCAAAAATCTAAACGACTGTATGGAAAGATCAAATAATTTATCAAGCGAAGTTTAGATACATCACAGGCCGAAAAGTATGGAGCAATTATCATTGATATATATATTTGTTTATTTTTGTCACTATTAATTGTAGGATATATGAAATATCCGTATTCTGTAATGTGTCGCGAAATGTAACTTAAGTTGCGGAATTCTTCGTTTATACTTTCAACTGGAAGAAAGAGAAATATCTGTATTAATGTCAGTAGCATCAGTAATTTTGTTTAAAAATGATTTGCTGAAATATGGTAAATAATAAAAAGACAATACATTTCTGATAGGGATTAACAAGTGACAGGAAGAATATCAATTTCAAAATCGGGATAAAATACAAGTTATTTCAGGTAGGAAATTCGGACTTTATTTGACCATGTAGAAAATGACTGTTTCTGCAGACCTTCAACAAATATGCAACTTTTGCTAACACCGTTAAAGAAGCAATGACCCTTTCAGACAGGGTCTTAGAAAATAGTCATGAAAGCAAGCTTTTCTTTATTCATCGTAGCTGTTTAATGGTACGATTTGTGTCCATATTTCAGAA